GTCGGACTCGCACACTTTCTAGGAGGAAGAGTGAGATGAATGCAGCAACAGAACGTAATGTTGGACAAGAAGAGCAAGCGGTCGGCGCTCGTGAGATTCGGGTCATGCGTGGATCCAGTGGCCACGCACACGGTGGAACAATCGCGAACGAGTACGCCTTCAGTGACGGACTGGACTGGACTGGCAATGGCATACGCCCGAGAAGATCTAGTTCCAGCGAGGACGAAATGCCACCGTTCCGGCCGACGACTCCCGTTCAAACTGCTCCATCTGGCATTGTATGGGCCGACAATCTCAGCACACCTAAGGAAAAGAAGCCCAAGGAGTCGCTTGAAGAATCCCCTGGCGGCCGCCTTCCACAGTCGAACAAAGAGAAGAGCATCGCTTTCGTAGAAGCGCAGCGAAACCCGACAGCGAGGAACAAGCTTCGTATACCAGGTCCACGCGACTTCGACCAGGGGCTCATCCCAGAGGCTGTCAAAGGAGAGGAAGAATTGGACAGAGTTGCGAGTAGACTATCGCATGAGTCTCATCCCAAGCGAGAGCGTTCAAATTCTGTTCCCCATGCTCTGAACGGAGACGATCGCCCCTTCAGGAATCACATCACCATCGACGTACCGGACCGGCAGCAACGCCCTACCGGGCACTCTGTCTATGACAGAACCAGGACCAATGAGGGCGATGCAAATGTGCCTGCATCGAGTATGCATCTACGTAATAGGTCACGATCAAGAACATTTACCAGCTTCCTTACCAGGACCAAGACCGAAGAGGAGGACCCGATGCCCTACCTCAGCTGGACACCCACCCTCGGACGCAACTCAAATTTTGTTGATTTGACTGAAGAACAAAGAGAAGAGCTCGGTGGTATCGAATATCGTGCTCTGAAGCTGCTCGCCATGATCCTCATCATATTTTACCTCGGGTGGCACACCATCGGCATTATATGTTTGGCGCCATGGATCAACAACGACGCTCACTATAGTGGTGTCGTGAGAGATTTTGGCGTTGACCCAACTTGGTGGAGCTTTTTTACTTCAGCCTCCCTGTTCAACGATCTGGGATTCACTCTCACTCCAGACTCGATGGTCTCTTTCCAGCTAGCTGTGTGGCCCCTTGTGCTGGGTACCTTCCTGATCATCATCGGAAATACCGGGTTTCCTTGTATGCTTCGGTTCACCATCTGGATGTACTCCCTGATGGTACCCAAGAGCAGCGCCATCTGGGAAGAGCTTCGTTTCCTGTTGGATCACCCGCGTCGGTGCTTTACTCTACTATTCCCAAGCAAGGCAAACTGGTGGCTTTTCTGGATCCTTGTCGTCCTGAATGGTGTCGATCTCATCTTCTTCATCATTCTCGATCTCAACGACCCGACCGTGACCTCGCTATCCGGTGGTCACCGCTTCCTCGCTGGTCTCTTCCAAGCTGCCTCAACGCGTACTGCAGGTTTCGCCGTTGTCAACATCGCCGATCTGCACCCTGCGGTCCAAGTCAGCTACCTCATCATGATGTACATTTCGATCTTCCCCATCGCCATGTCTATTCGCCAGTCGAATGTCTACGAGGAGAAGTCACTGGGTGTCTGGGCCGCAGACGACGAAGACGACACTCAATCCAGCTACCTCTCGCATCATCTGCGTCGCCAACTCTCATTCGATTTATGGTTCGTCTTCTTGGGTTTCTTCCTCATCGCCATCATCGAAGGCGTGCGCCTCGAGAATACGAACGAATACGCGTTCAGCCTGTTCTCCGTCCTTTTCGAGATTGTCTCTGCGTACGGTACGGTCGGACTGAGTCAGGGATTCCCCGGATTCAATACGTCCTTCTCCGGCCAGTTCAAGACATTGAGCAAACTCATCATCATCGCCATGCAGATCCGTGGAAGACATCGTGGTCTTCCATATGCTCTCGATCGTGCCATCTTGCTTCCATCGGAAACTCTACACCAGAAAGAGAACGAAGATGCGACGAGACGTGCACGACGTGGTAGCAACGCTATGGATCTCGGTGTCAGTATGAGTATGGATGGCATTACGAGGACTGGCACGGGACTCAGTCGCAAGAGCACGGCGAGTGGCGAGAGAGTGCCACAAAGTAAACCTAAGCAACTCAAGCGCATTATCAGCGGCGCTTTCAGTGCGGGTCCGACGGGCCAATTTAGGGAAAAGAGGACATGATGAGTATCCTTATAGTCACGACTTTGTGGGTGTTCAAGGCGCTTTGGGGCTTCGGTATAGCGTGGCGTACATCGGTGTTCGTAGATACACTTGTGCTTTGTTGTTTGATTGGTGGGTTCTAGATCTGATAGCGTTCATGTGGGTTGCAATATCCGTCGATGCGGTGATTTTGTTGTAGCTGGTATATACGTCCAACATATAGTACGGACAATGCAGACTTCTATGTTCACTTTGCGGGTTGCTTTAATGCTGAAGCTGAAGACTCGAGCCAACCATCATGCAACATGTCTCGATTCTCCGAAGAAGTGAAGCTACGATGTCGTTATACAATTGACATCATGCTCGTGTGGTGGACCATTTGCGAATTGTTGTACTATGACGTAGCCATTGCACGCTTGGATCTCAGCACGCGAGTGCACAGGCACTTGGGGCATTGACCCTAAGAAATCTGGCTTGCAGCGCGACAGTCGCGCGAGCGATGGGATGATGCGAGTTGGTGATGTAATGCAACGCTAAGTACCAGCCACCATTCAATTCTACCTATCGGCGATCGATCTCTATCTCAGACCCAAAGCCTCCCTTCTCCCCTGACTCCCCAAATCCAGATACGGTGCTTCGCCCAAGCTGCAGACACGATCACCCGCTCTGGCCTCTTCGTAATCGTACGTTGCGCAATGCCACGTACTTCGATTGTCCCAGATAGCCAGATCGTTCGGCCGCCACTTGAACCGTACCTGCGCATCGTGGTTTTGCGTCACAAGGTTGAACAAGTACGGTAAGATGAGATCGGATTCGTCCTTCGTGACGCCATTGATGCGTTTCGTGAATCCTTTATTCACGTATACTGATTTCCAGCCGGTTACGGCTGCACGATAAGTCAGCGACTGCAGCGCAAGAGCAACGTCAAACTTACGGTTCGTGCGAATGACCGGATGTGTGGCTGTGAGGACATCACCTTGGTTCAATGGATTTCCTCTCACATCCTTCCGGAGTGGGTTTCCTAATCGCGCTGCCTCATCCAGGAAGAACTTCGCATCATGCGTCGCAGTCAGGCCCTCCAAAAACGACCGCATGGCAGGAGAGAGACGGTCGTAGATTTCGTAGCCGGAAGCCCAGAGCGTATCACCGCCCGTTGCGGGTAAGGTGTGGATTTTCAACATCGCATAGTCCGATGGGACTGGCTCAAATGTGATGTCGCTATGCCAGCCCGCAGATGCAAGGCGAGATACGTCCGAGAGCTGGTGAGTGAGACCGCCACCTTTCTTTTGCTTTTCGCTACTTATGACAGAGATCTGGTCGCCGAGCTCAGATCCCTCCTCGGTAAGAGGATGTACGTGTAAACTAGAGGACGAAGGCTAATGTGTTGTCAGTGTATTGCTAGGTTAATTTGGATTCACTGCCAATCGGACATACACAGCCTGACAACTCGGTGATCCGCAACATCAGGTCTTTCATCTGAGTTGGCGTAACATCTTGATCCCGCAGAAAGACGACGCCACGTTGTGAGACTGGAATTATAAGTCAGTCATGAGCTATATCAAGCTGCAAACAGAGAGTCGTACCCGTTATTGCCAGATCTTTGATCATAGCATCGCCCCATCGAAGCAGGTCAGTCACTTGAAGACCTTCGAACTCTCTTCCAATGACTGGGGTCAAGTCTTGCTGTCTGAAGCTGTCCAAGGATCCGGAATAGACCAAGGGCTCCAACAGTCTCGATCGGGCGCTGGGGTGACCGCCAATGATATTTGCATCTCCGTCTTCATGAACGTCTTCCATACGACTGCGCTTGACTGAAGGCATCTTGAAGGCAATGTGGTGCGCGGTTAGTGCAACTTCCGGCTCAAATTCAGTGTTACAAAACGCTTGGATAGCCTGCAGACCAACAGCTCCAAATGTCTGGAAGTCCAGGACATATAATCATTCCCGGAACCAGGGTGACACCACCGCCTGCGTGGTAAAGCACGTCATCGGACTAATTGTACGCTCTGGGTCTAGGCGTGCCGGGCCTAGCCTACATGACCCCGTGAACGCCAAGGCGGATGTCGACAGTAAGACCAATAGGAGATGCATCAACATGCACAACATTGTGCTTTCCCCTCGTTCTTCGGGGCAATTACTACCTCGGTAGGATGGCGACGATGGCGACGGGACGAGCTTGAATTGCGACATGCCATGTCCAAAGTGATAAATAGGAGACAAGAGAGCATAGCAGGGAATATGCAGTGTCCAGTCTGTCACATCTCAGCAATAACCTTCCTTCGTGGCAATTGTGCTGTAGCCGACAATCGTAGCCCTTGACAATGAGCAACGACATAGAAGCATCTCCGCACAAAACACGGATCAGTGAAGATGCCAATTCGCTCAAATCATCGGCCCACGTGGGTAGAGAGGAACTTGCGGATATCGTCCCACCCCACGAGACGTACGAAGGCCGGCATCGCTTCGACCCCCAGGCGAGCTGGACGATTGAGGAAGAACGGCGTGTGGTGCGGAAGACAGACCTCCGGCTACTGACATGGCTCTGTCTCATGATGTTCGGGCTGCAGGAAAGTTCATACATCGTGCTAGCCGATCAGCAATACTGACTATCACAGCTCGATCGAGGAAATATATCGAATGCGCTCGCAGACAATCTTTTGGAGGACCTCGGGTTGACTTCTGACGACTATAACAACGGAACAACGATACAGTTGGTATGCTTTCTGGCTGCTGAATTTCCAGTGCAGTTGTGAGTATCACCGATTCTCTTATTGAAATCTTTCTCTGACCGTGTTCTTTTACAGTCTCACCAAACGCTATGGCTTCAAGTATATCCTCCCAACCATGATGCTTGCCTGGGGAACTGCATCTTGGGGCCAGGCGTGGATGCACGACCGAACTTCGTTTTACTTGGGCCGCGCAGCCATCGGACTTTGCGAAGGTGGTTTCATCCCCGGTGTGATTTTGTTTGCGACCTATTTCTACAAGTCCAAGGAGCTTTCTCTACGCCTGGCAGCCTTCTGGTCGACACTCAACATCGCACGTGTCATCTCGGCCTTGCTCGCGGCGGGGATTCTGGAGATGCGCGGTGTTGGTGGAAAGCCAGGTTGGTTCTGGTTATTTCTCCTCGAAGGGCTTTTGACGGTCGTCATCGCCATTCTCTCGTACTTGTATTTGCCCACCGCGCCGACATCCACCAAGAATGTGCTTTGGCGTCAAGGTTGGTACACTGAGCGGGAAGAAGTCATCATGGTCAACCGTATACTCCGAGACGACCCAGCCAAAGGCCTTACTGCTCTCAAAGAGCCAGCAACATTCAAAGACATCCGCGCGGCCTGGTCAGATTCCTCCATGTGGGGTCTATACTTCATCGGTCTTGTCGCTTACATCCCTGCTTCGCCGGTGCAAGGATACCTCACTCTCACGCTCAAACGCCTCGGCTTCAGCACCTTCAACAGTAACATGTTGACGATTCCGTCTGCGGCTCTCCAGGTCGTCACTATGCTAGCACTGGCATACTCAAGCGATTACTTCAACGAACGTACTTTCCACTGCATATTCGGCGAGTTCTGGATCATGCCGCTTCTCATCGCGTTGTTGACACTGCCCGATGGGGGCCGTGAATGGGGCCGCTTTTCCCTAATCACGCTGATCTCCGGATACCCATATTTCCATCCCTTGGTCTCCTCTTGGATATCCGAGAACACTTTTGACGTTAAGAAACGTGCAATTACGGCCGCAACGTACAATGTCATTGTGCAAATTGGATCTCTGATCAGTTCACAAATCTACCGCAAGTACGATGGCCCGTACTACAAGCAGGGAAACTCTGTTCTTGTGGCTATATGCGCACTGAGTGTCATTACTTTCCTTGTGCAACGGCAGACTTTGGTCCGTCTCAACAAAAGGAAACAGATACAGTGGGAACAGATGACTTCGGAAGAGAAGGCTCTGTACCAAGCAGACATCATCTCCCGAGAGAAAGATGGCAACAAGCGGTTAGACTTCAGGTTCACACTCTGATCTCGTTGGGAAACGATAGCCGGTGAAATCCACAGACAGTCAATGTCAACATGCATAGCCGCATGCAGACTGTGGTCCTTGCAGCATCACATGGTCTTTTCAATGTATCCGACTACCAACCAATGCCTCCTTGCCTTTCAATTGCACCGAACTATGTGCGACCCGTCATTGAGATCAACCCGAGGTCGCATTCCAAGTCCCAATCCCAAAGCTTTGATACCCAGTACCATTTTCAAAGAGATATTATCGGAGATTGTGTCACTTATACTTCCAATACGCTTTGAACTATCCTTTTTGTATTTTTCCTACGCAACATTGCGGATGATCGTGCGTCGACTGCGCGTATGGTGAGTATGCGTCTCTGCGTCGGCTGCAGAGAGCCGCCTTGTTCAACGAAGACGTCTCTAGCCTGATCCACTTTCCCTGCCGCGCCCCACAACTACCCAGAACCATTGCATGTCGTGATTGCGGGGATCAATGACGACCTCGGGAATCTCCACGATGTTGCGAGTCATTCCGAAACCCTGGATACCAAGGCCGCAGCAGCACAGCGCACAACTCGCTGCAACTGCCCAACTGAGGTTTTCCGTCCGATGCGGCAGGCTACATCGCCGGCATCGCCCTTCATGGAGGACTCGCCGCTTTGAGCGTAGTCAGCAGAATCGTTGAAGGCTTTGGTAGGACTTATGACTGGAAATGGCGGTTGTACTCGAGGCATCACTTTGTTCCAGCGTCAATAGGAAATCAATTTGTTGTTCAATCACCAAATCGCTCATACGAACGCAAGATGGCTTGGGAAGAACCTCGCAAAACGGGCATGCAGTACCGCCGCCTAGGTAACTCAGGCTTGCACGTATCTGCGCTGGGTCTAGGAGGATGGCTCACGTATGTTCACTCGTCTTCTTCCATGGATACACTCAGGAATATACTCATCAGATTGCAGTTTTGGAGGCCACGTCGAAAATGGTACATTGTGCCTATACGCTCATCAGCCACTCCACTAACGTCATTATCAGAACTTACATTCTCCATCATGAAGACAGCCTACGATAATGGGATCACATTCTTCGACACGGCTGAGTCTTACGCCGCAGGCCAGTCCGAGATCATCATGGGCCAGGCCATCAAGAAATTTGCGTGGAACCGCAACGACATTGTAATATCCACAAAACTCAACTGGGGCGGCGCAAATGGCGAAGTGCTTGTCAACAACCACGGTCTCTCGCGCAAACACATCATTGAGGGTCTTCGCGCATCTCTCAAACGCATGGATCTGGAGTATATCGATATAGTGTATGCGCACCGTCCGGATCGCCTCACACCCATGGAAGAAACAGTTCGCGCATTCAACCATGTCATCGAGCAGAAGGGTTGGGCTTTGTACTGGGGCACGTCAGAATGGTCTGCAGACGAGATTGCCGAGGCTTGCGGGATAGCGAAGCAGTTAGGTCTCATCGCACCAGTAGTGGAGCAGCCGCAGTACAACCTGCTCGAGAGGAAGAAGGTGGAGAGCGAGTTCCAGCGCCTCTATACGCGGTTCGGGATCGGGTTGACTACGTTTTCGCCGCTCAAGTTTGGGCTGCTTAGCGGAAAGTACAATGATAGTCCGGATGCGCCGCCAGCAGGATCGAGGTTCGCTGAAGGAAAAGATGGTTTTGTGAGTGGAATGCGCGACCGATATGGAAATGATGAGTGGAGTGGTATGATCGGCGCAGCGAGGAAATTGAAGGTAAACCAAGTCCCCATGCCTCCTTGATGGCATCTAGCTAACTGTGAGCAGCCAATCGCGGATAAGCTGGGTGTCAGCCAGTCGCAGTTGTCGCTTGCGTGGTGCTTGAAGAATCCGCATGTCTCCGCGGTGATCACTGGCGCATCAAGGCCAGAGCAGGTGGTGGACAACTGTGCAGCCTTGAAAATTATAGACAAGCTTACGCCAGATGTCATGGCTGAAATCGACGCTGTGGTGGGAAGCGTTCAGCTAGATCCTGCTCGACAAGATTAAAAACACTCGTTAGCTTTTGAATCAAAATCGACCTCCTTCAACAGTGATGTGAAAGTGAAAATCTCGGCTGATAATGTCCGTATTCTCATCTGAACGCCTGGAATGCTACTAGATCCGCACGCTATGCAATAACAATTATGGTTCTTCCTACACTCCTAACGTTTCTTGTGTTGATCATTCTTGATTTCCTTCTCTTGTGGCAAAATCTCGTGGACCTTCATATCTAATCCCACCCAGAACTTCCTGCCTCGCCACTCTACTGTAACACCTCCCCAGAAGGCGGTGACCCAGACTGGTAATGCAAAAATCTCGCGGCCGAGCCACGCAAATAAGAAGTCTATGAAGTTTCTCCTCGCGCCATCAAGTAGACTAGGTTCGCCTGGTGTCTTGTTGCCAAGCAGAGGTTCTAGAACTTCGGTTCGGTGGTATGCAGAGGCTGATCGTTGAGGCAAGATAAAGTCAGGGGTGTCGGAGTCGATCTCGACGGTCTTTGCGCAGTGCAGGAGCAGATACTGGACATAGTCTACAAGGCACCATGCGGATAGGTGTAGAAGCCAGATCAGGAAGAAGGAGGTCCATGTTGGGCTGATGCCGATTCTGTTAAAGAAGGGTAGTGTCGTTAGAGCACAGGCGCCGTACAGTCCACAAACGATACTTTCTGTACCTGGCTCCACAAACGTCGCCAAAGTCACCGTGAACTTCCGTACTCGTAGCCATCGAATGCGACGTTGCAGATAAGCCATAACAGACGTATGGCTGATTGGCTGAAAGCAAAAGTCACCGAAGAGCATTGCATGCTTGCCCCAAGCCTCCTTTGCCGTTCCTGGCTCGGGTTTGTAGCCCCGTTCCTCAAAAGCTTGAGGTTGCTTCCACAACACATCACCAATGAGATGATCCTCGCAGATGTTGTCGGAGAAGAAGTCGATGCCGGGAGCGCGGTCTGGATTCGATGAGGTGACGTAGTTGAGGTGGGAACGACGGAACATGGTACTCTTGCCCATGATGCAAGGTGCCACAGCGACTGTGTTGATGGCTTGGTAGAACTTAGCATGGGCAGAAGACATAAAAGCTTCGTCGAGACGTCCTCCGCCGCGCTGCAGCAGCTTCCTGATGGTGCTGCTGGAGTGATTGCGCGGATCGGAAGACGTGCTTGCCGCAATGCTAGTCGACTCAGCTATAGCTTGAGGCTTGCCTCCGAGCAATTCTTTCCTGTCCTGAAGCGAGAGACCTTGCGAGTCGAGATCTACCGTAAGAGGCGTCTGGTGAACGAACTTGTACTTTGTCTTCTTGTTGCCATGCTTGTCCTTTCCAAATCCACATAGCAGGTCCACCAATCGCCCGCAAACGCCCTTGCCGACCCAGACGTTGCAGTCAAGTACCCATACGATGTCACCCTTGGCCTCCCTATAGGCGCGACTCATGTTCCTGATCTTCGGATTGGGCCCCAGCGCGTTGTTATCTTTCAGTAGCAGCGGATCCTCCTCTTCGACCAAGATCTGTACATCGGCATCCGGGAAGTCTTTGCACAGGTGCTCGAGGATCGGGAAGGCAGGATCGGAACGCTCGGGAATGCAGAACACGGTGTTCAATTTGTCTTTGGGATACGTCTGGCAGAGGGTGGCTGCAAGACACTCGTACAATCGCGGATCGAGGCCTTTGACCGGCCGTATAACGGTGACTTGAGGGACTTCGTGCTCTTCCAACGTCGTTACGCATGTTGCCTGCTGGGGTCTCCTCCAATAGTAGCGGAATAGTTGGACGAAGCCGATGGCACAGACACTCCAAACTATCACCCACCAAATCAAGCAGCCGGTCGCAATAATGGTGCGCGACATGGAGACATCTTGTCCCGTCGCGAGGTTGGGCGCGCGAAGCATACGCGACAGTGTGGTAGGGTCGGAATGAGGGTGGGGTGTTGGCGAATCTCGCAGCGCGGAGGTTGCGGAGAACCAGGAAGCCACGACCGCCAAGACGCAGCACCACTCGACGATGTTCAGGGGTATTGAATAGATGCAGTATCCACAAAGACAGGCAAAGGAGCAGACGTACTGCAGCTGTTAAAAGCGAAGCAGCTTCTTGGCCCACAATCGTTTGCACATCCGAACGGTCCGACTTCACCGCAAGGGACATCCGTGGATCGCGATCGTTTGTCGCGATCAGACTACCTGCACACCGATAAAGCAGTCCACCCAACAACGATTTCCATAGATGGCCATCTGTAAATTGATTACTCACTTTAGATTATGGACTTGTTCACTTGCCTAGCCGGCTACCTGATTACGGGAGGTTTGATCGCCCAAGACTTTACATAATCCGTAGACTTTCTTGACACTGAACATCACATAGCTTGTGCTTGAAATGAAGTCCAGAAGGACATATTAATACATTAAAACACTTCCATGTGAGTGGGGTAAAGATGTGTATCAGCCCCAAAACTTCGTTATACAAGATGAAGCCTTCTTGAAATCATGTGAAATGCCATTTACCGATTGAGCTCAGCCTTTCAAGTTTTGGGCTTCTTGCGCACCAGGCCTGCTGTCAAAGTGTTCACCCCATTTGCAGCGCTTGCATTGGTAATGGGCGTGGGTTCTATCTTTGCCTTCTTCCTGACTGTGCCTTCTCCTAGTATTTGCGCGGACTCGGCAGGCTTTTCTGCGCCAACCGCCGCTTCTGATGGGTTATCGGGTTTCCTCTTCTTTCGCACACCCATGACCATGGTAGGTGTGACGCCGTTTGTTGCATCCGAAGGTTTTACTGGAGCGACATACTCCTTTATCCCCTTGACTGTGAAGCTCCAATCGTCCATGCCCCCGAGAACAGCAATTTCCTCTTTCCACTTCCTCGTACTTCGTGCTGCTGCCTTTCGGTTTGCGAAACTCTGTTGCAAAAGGACCTCATGTGCGCGGTCATAGTTCTTAAGCGAAAAGCAGATGGTGCCACGTGAGGAAGCGGGCCATTTCCAGTATGGACTGTTCTCGGGAAGGTTCTTGGCGGAGCT